AAATAATGGAAAAATACATTCTTGTAAACAAAGTAATTTTATTGTTCAACTTTGCACATAAAAATAATAAATGATATACGTGTCGAATGACTTACGTTGTAATTAATCTACAATGAAAGATATGTGAAAAAAACAAAATCACGGTCGTTATGCGAGCTGTCAGTCAGCGTGCTGATGCGGATGAAATTTTGCTTACTCTGCAATAACATTGAGTTTAAAGACCAACACACACAATAATATGCAACATGATGACATGAAATAAAATTACCTGGTATAAAATACTATACAATTTTTTAAGAGTTGTATGTCGCTTTGAAGAACCCAGAAAATAGTTTAAACTTGCTTCTGATATATTGCATGTATATATTGTTTTGTTTTTATCAAATTAAAAAAATATAAGTAATGACAGATAATATTAAAACTGAAATAAATAAAAAAAAAAATTAATTTTAATCATTCTGCACAATTGTGCTTTTTCTCAGTACTACAGTAGAATTTAAATTTTTGTAGAAAAAATATATTTTTTTATCTGAATTACTTACAACCTTACACATGGCATACCGCAGGTCGCTTTTACAAGACCACGCCGCATTATTATGCCGCAACTTGTCGATAATCGAGCTATCTCGATTCAGACGTGGTGTCCTCTTGTTTTTTTCCTTTCTTGCGCGTAAAACAAATCTATTCTGCGAATTGTTGGCGCCACGTCAGAATGACTCGCGCGCTGATGAACTGCGATGCGGCGAGTGTTAATTGAAGACGCATGATTAAGAGTTTATATGCTTTAGAATCTGCACTCGCGCGCGATTTTAGGCAGTTTCATTTGCGATCAAAACTTGCACGGAACGTCAATATAATATAATACGTAAAATTAAAAAAAATTGAATTAAATGTAAAAATCAACACTTTACGCGAATTAAGAACGAATTATATTCATGTTAAGATGCGACAATTCTAAAGACAAACAAAATGACAGTTACCAAAAAAAAAAATGAAAGTTACCAAAGATGCAACATTTTTACCTCCGTCGTTTCGACTGCTGGACCTCCGTGTGAGTTTGCTGAATATGATGGGGCGATAGGTCGGACCCATAAGACAGAAGTTGACTTCCAGCGGCGGACGGACAGGCGGATGGGGGTAGCGGGGGCGGCGGTGGTGGGCCCAATTGGTAGCTCACCGTAGCAGAGGGGGCAGCGTAGTGTGAAGGCCCAGGACCGGGGCCCAGACCGACCCCGTAGCCCGCGCTGCCCGCCGACCCGCCGCCGTACATGCCGCTGCTACCGGGATACTCTATTTTGCCGGTCTTCTTGATTCACCGTCAAAAAAAACAATCTATCACTTTCTTCAGAAAAGTTGTTTTTTTTTTTACGGCGAGTTAATTCGCCATATCGTTGATACGCTATCGTAGCTTCGTAAATATGTTGTTACACACCCTCGTATTGTTATTGAGTTTAATTATTGACGAGTTAACTTCTTGTTACTTCAAAATCGTCTATATTAATATGTTCTTCAACTTCTTCACAAAAGTACTTGCGCATTCACTATCTTGTCGCTTTTTTGTGTTGCTTTATTGCTCGTCGCAATTTTTTTTTATCAATCAGTAGATTTCCACAGTATTTCATTCACAGATTTTAAACATTTGTTCTTTGAGAAACACACTAACCTAAACACACGCGCTAAAAATGCGTAGATTTCTTCTAATTCTGATCGCACGAAGTTTGTGACGAAAGATCGACGTTAGTTTTGGTGGTCTCGCTCTTCTATCGCATCGCATCATTTTTTCTACCTTTTCACCTGCATAAAACAAAAACCAATGATAGTTCAATAATCGCGAAAACGTGGAATTTCAAAATCCTTGGTATATATGGAGAAACTACTTCGACTGTGTTTCTTTTCGTTTTTCATCGACGTATCTCGTCATCTCGTTACTTGGAAAAGATGTAGATCTACATCGCGTGGTCTACGAAGCAGTTTTGTACTTCGCGTTTTCCTCTTCAGCTTCACTCGGGAGATACTTCAAAAGTTTCGAAGGCCTTTGTATCTGAATTCTACTCACGTTCGCTCATGTTCCTCAACCGATCTCGAAAGAGCGGCAGAATATATACATATATATATATATATATGTATATTTTAATATAAATTAAACTTCACAAAAAGTCATTTTTATTCACTGTTGAAAAATTCATGTTCGTACTAACATGACGATTGAGAAAACAATGTCGTGCACTTTGTTCTATTGATAATAGACATTAAACTCTCTTGTGTGAGTCTCTGAGAGATTGATCATTCGAGACTGCGTACATGTGCTCCAAAACTCTCACAAAGCAAACTGTCGCTGAAAACATAGATAAGCGAGTGCTTTATCTAGAATAGCTTTTTATTTCCGGGAATTGTTTTTATCTGCGGTTAAAAATCTTCCTCGTTTTCACAAATCTTGCGCCTCTTCTTTGTACGCAAAAAAATTCTTCTATTTCGATATTTAGTTTTACAATGGCTGCGGAATTGTGTTCTTCTATTAATAACTATTTGTTTGTGTCTTTCTGTTTTCCGCGGTCGACCGCAATATATCGGTCTATGAGATTCGCCGTCGGCGAATCAGAGAACGTCACGAAAACCTCAATCTTGTCGGACCGTTGTTAAATTCGCGCCGAATATCGCACCCTCCTTCCGTGTCACTATCGCGTACAATCAGCGGAAGAATCGAGCTAATTCTTCCTTCGCCTCGCGGCTTTCTCAAAGCGACGGCCATCGCTGGTGCGATTCGTACGCTTTGCAATCACTTACCCCGAGGAATCTCCGTCGAAAGCCATCCGGCCGGTCGTACGGCAAGTTAAGTGAGGCGAATTAGCTTATTTTCAGACGAAATGACTGCGAAGTAATTTTCTGCGTGATCAAAGCTAGGAGTCTTCGAATCTTCTTGCGCTACAAGATCGGCAATCTTCTATCGCATATGTATTTCATATCGATTTATCTGTCATTCCCAAACTTATTTGTGTCTCAAATAAAGAGAATAAAGTCCCAGATGGGAACGGTCAAATCTCTAATCACACTCGAGTCTTGATTGCGAGGAATCACGTAGCGAACGATAACGTCTACTTCAGCAGACGACAAAATTTTTAATGTGTGTCCGACGTTTAATCTGTTCCAATATAAACTGAACTTGTAGATTGTTCTAATCCGCTCGGCTGAGTGTGCGTATTAAGAAAACGCATGTGAAGAACCGAATGCGACGATTCCCGCGCAAAAAATCTTCGGACAACTTATCCCCCGAAAAATGTTCGACGAACGACGACTCTGGCACACTTCATCGGATTATAAAAAAAATCACACACCATGATATCTTTTCTGTTCGAATTTCATTCGTCAAAATCCAAGAGGGAGAAGACCAATATATTCCATTAGAGAAATTATTTACTGAAATACACGTATGTGTATTATCAACCTGTCTGCTTCAAAATTCGATCAAACATTTGATAACAGGGTTTGACACAAAATACCGCACGTATGTAATTACAAATTTTATCAAGATATAATCAATCATATCTTGAGATGCCTATGCAAGATCGACTTAAACTTGAAAATTCGTTAGAGCACCTTTGATCAATGTCTGATTAATTACGTTTTTGCGACGGATCACTCGACGACACGTTCGTTCGGAGCACGTTTCGGCGCCAAAACTTCCGTCACGACGCGCTCTCAATAATGACGCGTCGTAATCGTTGCGGCGGTGCCTCGATCACGGTCATCGATCAAGATCGTCGACGCTGGCGGAGCAACGCGAGCCAACGCGGAAGCACGTTTCGCGAACGTATAACACGTATATGGACGTACGGACGGACGGACAGACGGACGGATGGGTCGCCGACTAGCCACCACCCACAACTCGCCAGTGACTGATTCCACCATAGCCGCATAATATGCTGCTGCGGTATACTCCGGTGAGGACTATCACTTCTCCCACCAGAGAACTTGGGACAGCCACCGTTGCGAAGCACGACTTTTAACCGGGATGCATCGCGCCGCTCGCTTACGACGGGACACAACATCGGAGAAATCATGTTGTTTTTTTTTTTTTTTTTTTTTTTTTTAAGAAGTCTATTTTGTAGTCAAAATAGATTTTATTTTATACCGGAATTCTCTTGGTTAGAATTTGGCGAATAGAGAAATTATTTTCATAACAATCTCTACGTGCATCTAAGTGAAATTAATATATTTACAAAAATGCGAGCAGAATATAGAACAGATATGCTCGTTTGTTGCGTCACGAACGGGTCGAGCAATCGGGACGAATTAAAACGTGTCGTTAGATAGGAATCAAAGTTGACGTTTGCTACGAAAAATTAGAGACGGCAGAAATATTTTTGAGAAAGGTTTGTATGCTCAGGTAAGTAAAAGTAAGTATACGCTTGCGATAACGAAATGTTTTCTTGAACGATGTCGCAACGGGCCCCGCTCTCCTCGGGCGCGTATTAGCCAGGCGCAGTATTGTAAGCCGCGATGGAGAGAGACCTTTGCCTACCCGTATTATGTGTGGCGAATGCCGTAACTGATCCTGGCGCTGCATCATTTCTCGGAACTGCGTCAATCAAGCGCGACACCAAGCTTGCCGTGCATGTAACTGCACGGCAAAATTTCTCCTTGATCGTTTACGCCGAAGCGGCTATTTTTGTCGCTAAACTTTTCAACCTTTTCTTTTCTTCCATTCTTGTCGATTTACGATACGAAAGATAACACACACACACACACATATATTGTATTCATAAATATTTTATATAAGATTTATTTTTTAGAGAGAAATCAAAGTGTTTGTTATTTTAAAAAGGATCTGTTTGTTTATTTTCAAAAATTTCTTGTTTCAAAATCTTAATTTACTTTAGATTGTTTATGTCAAGTCTGATTTTATAAAAACATATGCAAAATTTCTCAGTTTGTACAACATACAAATTAAATGTGTAATGTAAATAAAATATTTGCAATATTTATGTATTTTTATGACTTACCCTATATGAACAGCACCACGCTTCTGTGCCATTTTGCTCGGGTCGCTCCCTGCAAATAAAATGATACATATAAGAATTGTATATTACAAAGCTCTCTCTCTCCCCCTCCCTCTCTCTCTCTCTCATAAAACTTTAATTGAATCATGCAACATTGTCCAATAATGTAAATAAAAAATAAACATGTACATACATGTATACTTATTTACAAAGACTGCTTATAAGAACTACTTATTAGTGATTGTTTTGTTCCACAAGTTCTATTCACTAGTTTATGATTGTTAGTGTCTAATAATCAATCATTTTTCTGTATATAAAAAAAAAAGATTATATAAGAGTCAGAGAAAAAGATGTTGCTTGTGCAATTTACCAATTATTGTTGCAATTTTCATCTCACCAATCTAATATATCTTTTAGCACATTCGCTAACAGATTACTCACAGAATGATTAGTATTAGAAATATAGAAGATTACACTACTCTGGTTTGATTGTAACAAAACAATCGTTTTCCACAGCTCATCCGTGATCTATATAACAAACTGGAGCAATTTACCTAGAACACTAATAGTCTCGTCTCAGTGTGTTACGTGTGTATGCGAGAAAAGAGCGTGTGAGGAAAACGCAGGGAAAAAAAACGCTGGTCCTTTTGAAAAACATCGAGTCGAGTTTTTCGCACGGAGAGTCAGCGGGAGTCACAATTTTCGACACGTGTTCGTTTTGAGAATCACGCATTCTCTCGGGAAAAGCAGATCGGCAAACAACAACGGCAACAAAATTCGCGGTTTAACTTTATTACCTGGAATCGAATGGGCGATCGTTGATACCGTGAACATTCAGCCTGGATTTCCTGTTGCTACGATGCGACTGGAAAACGAGACGCGTTTGGCGCGGTAGCAAATATCGACGCGAACGTACTGCAGTTTCCACACTACGCACCAACATCAAAACTGGGTGTTTACAGTTGGCAGTCGCGCCATTTTGGAGTTTCACTCAGCTTCGGAGTTTTACAGCGTTTTTCACTGGGCCGCACTGAGTGCGCACCAAAAACTCGCCTGGTGGCAGCAGCACTGTACAAGGTTGCCCTGTAAGTTGCACTCCCGGCTAAACACTAGCTACAGTTCTAGTGCCATAAAGTGCAATATTTTTGTAAAGATTATGTACCTACGTTAATAAAGTTTTTCTATTTTTGGAATTTTGTGTGGTATTTTGGCCGTCATAAAAACTTCATCTTCATCACCGCTAGATGATGACTAGAAGAAAGCAAATCTAGCAGTTGAAAGTATTAACGGAGTTTTGAAAATATCGCGCGCTGCCGTCTTGCACTCAATCGACACCGTCTCTCGAAGCTCGTACCCGTAACTTACGCACTAAAGTGCAACAATTCGGCACTCAGCTTTTTAGTGAAACAGCGCGCACTATTTTCGTGCGCACCAAAACACCCGGTAAAACGCGTTGCCCGCGGCTAGTGCGCACTTTTAGCGCACACCAGTTCTCCCAATGAAAAACGCTGTTATTTTCGCAGAACGGGAGCTACGGAAGCGCCGCGGGACGAAGAAGTGCGCGCGAGGCGCGATCTGTAGGTGACGCGTCAAAACCGCTTTGGTTACAAATCCTTTCGGTACGGTAGAATTGCGTTCGAATAGTTTTGCGCGGATTTGGCACAAAAAATAAATTTGAACGAAATTGAAATCTGATAAAAAAGTAAATTGCATTGAGAGAAATATAACAAATAGAATTAAAGCGCGGCAATAAAACACTAACATAACGACCAGGATGTCTATTGCACCAATGGGAATAATGTTTACAGCATTCTCATTGGCTGTTGATCGTTGCGAACATATGTTTTTCTCAGTACATTTCTAACGGTATTATAATTGTACAAGCTTTTTTCTTGCAAACTTTTGCACATCCACGTGTTAAATAAGAATTTCAATAATTTTGTAGCATTGTAAACATTTGCGTCTTACGTCTGTTTAATCAAATCGAAATTTTGCTCGATCATTTGCATGTGAACGCGCCCGTCGCGGCACCGCTGCTTGTCGCACGACGCTATAGCGCAGCGCCCTGCCGGTAATACCTGCGTCTTGGACCGAGCGATTCCACTACGCAACTTCCGCTACCTCGCTGTTAAGCAAAATGGACGCCTTTGTGTCTGTTTTCTTCGTATTCTCACAATAAATACGGTTTACGAAGCGACGCAGCGCCTGCGACGCGGCGATGTTCGCGCGGTGCCGCGTGATACGCGTGTGAGGCCAAGTGTCGTGATCGCGAGTTGGACCCGTGAACCCCTCCGCGACCGACGTGGAAACGCGTCCAACCAAGTAGGCCAACCGTGGGTTGCCCGCGGATGACAATTGAGCTGAGCATCGCCCGGACGACGGTGTTACCGTGGTTAGCCCCGTGACGAATAATCGCCACGCCGACGGTCGCAACGTGAAGGACCCGCCGGCGACCGCGAGCGACGCGGTGCCGTGGAATAGCGCCCGGCCTCCCGCCAAAATCCAACCCGCGGATAGAGCGGACCGAGCAATCGGCGACGTAAATAGTCCCGGTAAGCAAGTGACAAGGAGTTGACGCGGTCTTCTTTACGTCGCGCTTTGACGCGGCACTTTTTCACACGAGTGATCCGGCGAATTTTCTTGATAGATCACCAGACATCTGATCCAGATTTTCGTCTGCGGGAGGATTTTGCTGACCCTTGTCCCTGTGTTGTCATAGTCGCTCCTGAATACTTGAGGAATACAATGTTACATGATATATGATGTTGAATGGTGGATGTTTATCCAGAGAAGGTAAAAAAAAACATGCTGGATTAAATATATTAGTGATTATTGAAACTGATGTCTTAGAATCAGCGAAGATTGGCCTTAATGACGAATTTTCTGAGCTTTTTTCATTATATTGTTGTGTTTTGTATCAATTCTGGTTGTATAAGGATAATAACACCAATATTCTATTCTCATGTAAAAAAGATTAATTTATATAAACGCATGGTTTTTTAAGTAAAAACTTAAATTCATTTTTTTAATCATTTTCTCACATGGTTATATTTTAAATATAGTAATAGGACGCTCTTTCATTAAATTAAATATCAATTGAACATAATATTTATATTAATGCTTTGTATGTAGCAAAAAAACAAAATATTATTTTTGTACAACAATTTCAAAACTAGCGTATTATTTTCTTTATATATAATATAACAAAATATAATTATTATAAGAAAGATAAAAAATTACAGATTATTACTTGATATAAAAATTAAAATTCTAAATGTTTTACTTTTAATACTTATACATTTAAACTTTTTAATAATAAAATGTTGGATTATTAGTGAAATAAATTGCATTATATTAAAAAATATTTTTAGGTTATAGTTTTGTATTATTTTTGTTCTTACGATTTATTTGTATGTATTGAGGTTTTATTTACATAAACAATATCTATTTTAGATAGTAAATTTTAAATAGATATTTTTTAAATATGTTGTAGAGAAAAGAAAACAAAAGTATGCAATTTATGTATAATGCTAATTTGTTTTACAGGACAACAAAGCACTGGTAAACATGGATCGTTTATTGGAGGATCCACGAGCTTCATCAAAATTTGGCTGAATCTTTTACTTGCAACATGGGAACTTAAAAGAGACTTTGTCAAGTTCCCAATATTTGCCTTAGTGCTAGTGTCCTGTAAGGATTAAAGACTATTATTGGACAGTGAGATATTTGTGTTGGTATGTTCTGAAATGCATAGTGAAAAAATTTTAACAATGACTTATTTAGACGTTTGTGGAGACAGTGTACTTAGACATTTGCCATTGATTTACATTTACTGCATATCATGAACGAATATTTGTAACATGCTTGTGCGGTGTTTACTTGTATCTCTACATTGTTCCATGAACATTGCAAGGTGAGGAAGTTTCAAAAAAATTAGAATTGATTTTGATTCTCTTTTTTTTGTCCAGGCTGTAATGCCCGAACGAATCAATCTCAAAATGAATGGGGTTGTACCGAGTGTGCCAATAACTACCCTCGCTGGTATTGCGAGTCTCAGTGACTTATTGCCTGAAATGCCCTTACCAACTCCGCTGCCGCAGACCCTGACTAATAGTAAGTCACTGCTGTTTCATCCACGAGTGGCGGAAGAGGCGCAGATATTGCTGAGCGTTCGCGATGAGAATCTCGTGCCGCAGTTGATAACGTCCCTGTCACAGACCTCATCGGATCATATCGAACTAAAGGACAATTATGCGAATACCGAGCAGTCGCTAGAGAACGAACAGAACGCGCCCGAGCTGCTCAAGGCAATTTTACAGATCAATCCTCATGTATTCAAGGGACCTCAGCATAATTCTCCGAAGAATTGGACGCAAGGTGCGCCTGTTGTGTTGAATGCAAATCAGTCGCCGGCGAGTCATGGTCGTTTCTCGCCCACTTACTCGAGCTCTTCGAGCTCCAGACACACACCTCAAGGTAGTCCGGCTCATCCGGCAGCAGCAAGATCCGTACTTCCGCCGCCGATGGCCAGCAATATCGTTCACGCGCAACATCCGCGTATGCCGATTACACCACAGAATCACACAGACATCTCGCAGATGTCTCCCTTTGCCGTGCCTTCTCCGTCGCCTAGAGGCAACATTATGACAGAACAAACGAGAACGCTGGCAACGCCCCAGCATATGCAAGAAGACGCGAATTGTATAAATCCCTTATCGAATGTAGCTCTTCAATCGAACATGTACTCGCCAGCTCATATGAGTTCACCCAATACACCCAATACGCTGACGTCTCTCGGTAATGTGACACCTCAGCACAACATGGCCGGTATGACGCCGCAACACACTCTTCACATGGCATCTCCTATGCGTGTCGCCAACATGCAGCAACAACATCCGGCCATGGCTATGCAGCAGAATCTTTACTGCGATCCTATGATGAATCAGCAAGTACATCACGCATTAGGTGGCAGTCAACCGTTAGACATGGATAGCGCGGTGCAGGAAAATCAACAATTTCTTCTCGACCCCGTAGCCGGAATTCCCGATATCGATCTGCCGATAGAAAACATCGATGCGAAACAAGGACAAATAGATCATGCGGTACAACATTTATTACCAACTCCTCAGACTACGTCCTATCCGAATATACACGTAACTGACATGGTTAACGCTGTAGTTCCGACTGCAGCTAGCGAAGCACCTAGTGTGCAGCATCAGCAAAACAATAATTCGGAAAAGAATATGAAAGTTCCTGGAAATGTAATAGAGAAACTGAAAGAACCGGTTGTGATGTTGAGTAGATTATCGAAATCCGATCAGGAACTCTTGCAGAAAAGTTTGCACGCGTTTACAGAGAAATCTCCGAATCGCGCTGCAAAAATGGGCATTTCCAATCGCGACGACACGTCCAAGACCGATTCCGAAAGCGAAGAGGAGATCGGTAAGAACAATAAGTACTTCAAAGCTCGCGCTAAAGAGCGACAAGTGCAGCGAGAGAAGGAGAAAGCGGAACGGCGGAAGAGCGAAGACAAGATTCGACGAAGAAAAAGGATAACGGATGACGATGAAGAGGAGGACAGGCGAGATACGACAAACGCGAAACCAAAAATACGCAAGGTGGAGAAGAAGCTAGTGCCTGTTTTAGCCAAACTGAGCGTAGAAGAGTTGATGGAGACCAATACGTATCAACGATTTAATTCCACCATAGACACGATCTTCGAAAATACCGAGGATATCACGGCGAACGCCGATTTTGAAGACGATGGCGACGTGCCTCCGGAGATGCTTATTCCTAAATATCAACTGCACGACCTTTGCACGGAAGCGGCCAAACTAAAATCGCTGGGCGCTATGGAATCGATACCAACAGACAGACTGGTGAGATTGCTGAACATACTTGAGAAAAATATACGAGACGGTGCCAGAGTGACGCCGCTCGTAGATCCGGACGACGATGTCGAAGAAGGACGATTGTGGATGCAATTGGCGATGGAACGAGTGCAGCGTGCTGTAGACTCGTCGTTAATCGCGTTGCACATTATGACTTCCTCAAATATGCCGAAGACAGTTTACTTGGAGGACGTAATAGATCGGATAGTTCTCTTTATGAAGTTTCAGCTGGTTAACACGATCTATCCCACCTTCGATCCCGTTTACAAGACAGATACGAAAAATAAGACTGAAAATTTTAATTCTAGCGGGCGTAAGAAGCGGGGCCACATGAAGGAGGTGCGCGAGAAGAGTATCTTACAAGTTTACAACAAAATGCACGAGCTTGTGGGTCTGCTAGCTGAACTTTTGAACATACAAGTTCTAACGGACACAAGTGTGCTTCACGCGTCGTCGTTAGGCGTTGCGCCGTTCTTCGTCGAATCGGTTAGCGATCTTCAGTTGAGCGCGTTGAAACTCGTCACCGTAATCTTCACTAAGTACGAGAAACACAGAAGACTACTGCTGGATGATATTCTCGCGTCCATAGCAAGACTGCCCAGCAGTAAAAGAAGTTTACGCACGTACAGGCTTAACTCCGAAGATCACATACAGATGTTGACCGCGTTAGTTTTGCAGCTTATTCAGTGCGTGGTAGTTCTCTCGGACACTAAACCTTTGAAAGAAGAAGACGAAAAGCGATCCAGTCACGTAGACGCCGATGTCTTCATTATCAACAAATACGAGACCGCCACCAGAATTGCCGGGAATTTTTTAACAGTGTTTCTTAACAAATGCGGTAATAAAGGCGAGGAGATTGATTACAGACCATTGTTTGAAAATTTCGTCCAAGATTTACTGGCGACGGTAAATAAACCCGAATGGCCTGCCGCCGAATTGCTGTTGAGTCTTCTCGGAAATCTATTGGTAGGACACTTTTCTAATAAGAGTTCCGATATGTCACTCCGAGTGGCTTCTATCGATTATCTCGGTGTAGTCGCAGCCAGGCTGCGCAAGGACGCGGTTAGTTCGCAATGCAAGTTATCGACCATAGATCAGATAATACGGGACATTAAGCTCGAACAGCAAAAGGACTCGGATTATGAGCAGCAGAGGGATAAGGAAATTGTCGGATTGAGCGAGGACGAAGAAAGGACGGTATTTCTTCAGAAAGTACTTTTGGATTATCTAGCTGTTAATGGAACAAAGGACTCGGCCCTAGGATACGCTCGTCATTTTTATCTAGCCCAGTGGTATCGGGACTGCGCGCTGGAAAAATCTCGAGTGGCTCAATCAAAGAATAGCCCGAGTAAAAAAATGCACAAAAAACGAGCGAAAAAGAAAAACCGTCATAACAGTGATCAAGACTCCGAATCCGACTTAGACGAACAAGATCCGGATGAAAATGACAATAATGAGCAAAGGAATTCGGAGGCTTATCGAATAATCGAGGAAAAGAAGAAATACATCGTCGGTAGAATAAAACCTTGCAGTTCGGGAAGAAAACTGGATATTCTTCAGACGTACATCGACTACAACTCTGCGGAATTGATCTCGCAATATCTCGCGTCCAAGAGACCGTTTTCACAGAGTTTTGATAGATATCTCAAGCAAATTCTTCACGTGCTGACAGAATCGTCAATCGCCATAAGAACCAAGGCGATGAAATGTTTAACAATGATCGTCGAGGCCGATCCAAGCGTGCTTGCAAGAGCGGACATGCAAATGGGCGTGAAACATTCGTTTCTTGATCATTCTACGTCGGTGCGAGAGGCGGCGGTTGATTTGGTGGGCAAGTTCGTATTAAGCAGACCTGAATTGATTGATAAATATTACGATATGCTGTCCGCTAGAATCCTGGACACCGGTGTGAGTGTGCGTAAACGCGTTATCAAGATTCTCAAGGATATCTGTATGGAGTGTCCGGACTTTCCCAAGATTCCAGAGATATGCGTGAAGATGATAAGAAGAGTGAACGACGAGGAGGGGATTCGAAAGCTCGTTATGGAGGTTTTTCAAAATATGTGGTTTACTCCGGTGAGAGAGCGTCCAACTCTGGACACAGAATCGCTACTAAGGAAAGTGATGACCATCACAGATGTCGTGGCTGCCAGCAAGGATATGGGACTCGAATGGTTCGAGCAGCTCTTGATAAGTCTGTTTAAGCCGAAGGAGGACAAAGACGACAGCACGAAGATGCAAACAGAGCCACCGCGAGCGCTGCTAACGGCGTGCAAGCAGATCGTCGACTGTCTGATTGAAAATGTGCTCCGGCTAGAGGAAACAAATTTAGGAAATTCGGAACAGTCAGGCAAAAAAGGCTCGTCCCAGAGACTAGTTGCGTGTCTCACTACGCTCTACCTTTTTGCCAAAATTCGGCCGCGGTTACTGGTTAATCACGCAATTACTTTGCAGCCTTATTTGAGCCTCAAGTGCCAGACGCAGGGTGATTATCAGATCATCAGCAGCGTCGCGCACACGCTCGAATTGGTGGTTCCCTTGATGGAACATCCTAGCGAAACTTTTTTAGCACAATTGGAAGAGGATTCGGTGAAGCTAATTTTGCAACACGACAGATCGGTGGTCGCGAGCTGCCTCTCGTGTCTGGGTTCTATAGTTAATAACGTCACGCGAAACTTCAAGCTGATCCGAGATTGCTTCAAGAAATATTACGGACACTTGACGGAGTACAAATTGTTGTATGAAAAAGATCCAAAAAATCCATCGCTGTTGAAATGGAGACCGTTTTTCCGGCGAGCGCTGTTCACAGTCGGCTTATTGCTGCGTCATTTCAACTTTACGGATCCCGAAGTGATAGAAGGACTGGCGGATAATATCAAAGACCAGGTCTTCGAAACACTCAATTATTTCGTTCATCAAGATAACGATGATATTCGCCATTTCACTCTTTCGGCGATTGGTTCTCTTTGCATACGGCATTATGAATTCATGATGCTGCCGGAACTAAAAGAGCTGTATCATCATCTGCTAACTTCGGAGAACGCGTTGGTCAACATGAGGATTCAGGTGCTGAATAACATCGAAGTCTACTTGCAAGAAGAGGAGAAGAGAATGATCAAGCAGGATCTCGAGTGGGCAAAGATGTCAAAACAGGAAAATCTGAAGGAAATGGGCGATGTTTCGTCAGGTATGGCGAGCACCGTCATTCAATTGTACATCAAAGAGATCCTCGAATCCTTTCTCCACGTCAACATAAACGTGCGACACGCGGCTCTCAAAGTTATCCAGCTGATCTTGGCGCAAGGTCTAGTGCATCCGGTTCAAATAGTGCCATATCTGATCTGCATGAGCACAGATTGTGAAAAAGCAGTGAGCCACAGCGCGGACAAACAACTGCAAGATATCGAGAAGAAGTATCCGGGTTTCATACACATGAAATCGCAATTTGGTATGAAACTAAGTTATCGGTTACAGAAAATCTTGCAAAACGACATTACGGTTCGGGGTATGCGAATAAAAGAGGGCGAATTTCCGAGCGCGTTGAACGGCTTTCTTTACACGATCTTGCGCACTACGAAACAGCAGAGGCGAGCGATTGTGTTGTCATTCCTCAAACATTTTGAAGAGAATGCCAAGACCAATCTATCGCAAATGTTGTACCTGGCGGACAATCTCGCCTACTTTACATATCAAGTGCAGGACGAGCCGCTCTTTATAATCCATCACATCGATATCATCATCTCCGTGTCTGGTACAAATCTGTTGCAATCTTTCAAAGAGGCTCTGCTACCGAAAGAAGGCAACACGCATTCGCAATCCGGACAGATAGCGACAGTGCCGCCAACAGGACCGGATGGCCAACCGAAATCGGATCAGTTGCTATCAACTCTGGAGGACGAAGAGGACGATGAAGAGGATGAAGAAAGTCTTTTGACTAGGTTACCAAGCGACACAACTCTGCTCAGAGGATATATTACCGCCAGTCAAGGTTTTTTGCTTCTATTAACACTTCGGCAGCATCTCAAGGATCTCTATGGCTTTTCCGACGCAAAAATAGGACAATATTCGCCATCGGAAGCAGCCAAGGTTTACGAGAAAGCGGTAAATCGCAAGAGCAATATGCACTTTGAACCCAAGGCCACCCTGCAGAGGTTGCGCGAGGGCATGACTGATACCAACGCGGAACTTGACGCAAGTGGTAGGAAGAAACTCGTGAAGGAGTATCTGGACTTTAAGCAGCTGATGCTCAAGTTTGATCCCGAAGAACCGGACGATGATGGTGGTAACGACGCCGACACCAGTGGCGGTGGCAAGCAGAGCGAACAATCGATGAGGATACAGCCGCATGCAGAGGCAAATGGCGACAGAACGGCTATAGCGGACGGCGTCGTCATCAATGACGGTGCCACCTTGGCCGTTGCGAGCGGCCAACAATTTCAGTTACCACTACAACCGAATCTGAACTCCTCCGCTCCGATGGAGCATCCGAACAACTCCGTGAATTCGTTGCCGCCAATGGCGACGACGACACCACGAGTACCGAAGCTGACGATACACACCCAACCGGACGCGAGAGAATCGCAGCGCAAGCATCGCGGACACAAGACGGACAAATCGGTGAGGAAGCAGAAAAAGAAGAAGAGGAGAAGAATCTCCGACAGCAGCGAGAGCGGTGAGGACTACAGTGACCCTGACTTTCTTGTGTGAGTGCAGTGGTACATTTCGCCCTCTATGTGTACATATACATGTCCGTGATAGTGTGTGCGTGTAGTTCGCCAGCTCGAATGATTCTCATTTCGCGTCGACGATATTTGAACGCTATTACAGCGCGACGATTCTCTTACCCCGTCCCCCAAAATGACTTTATTTCCCTTCGAAGTGACTTTGAAGATGGTTCGTCGAAAGCAGTTGGAAAACTGCATAGAAACTAAGTAGCGATGTGGGAATGTATGTGAGCGAGAGAAAGAGAGAAATTTCGATAGAAATGATAGGCGAAGATTTTTTTAATGCGAATGTTCAGATAGAATTTAGCATATTGTTGGCCGAAGTGGCGGGCGTCTGTGTGGTTTATCGATCCGCCATACCGTTGTTAGTGAAATCGGATCGTTACATATATGCGATCGGTTCGAGAACTTGGCTCATTGATGCGAACTAATTTTCGTCTCTCTTCTTCGCTAAAACAAACGTTTATTCTTAGAGATAGAAGTTGTTTGCTCGAATCCGTCGAAATAGAGCAGAAGACAAGCAATTTGAAAATCAGAAAAATATGATACCATATAAGCCAAGTTCTCCGCGAGAGCACATACAATAAAGTACAATAATACGTTCGAACAAAATTCATCTGTAAATAGTATCACATATTGACGAGGACGTACAGTTGTTGGCTTTTTTGCATTAAAAAAGAAATAAATTACTATGCGAAGAGAAAATAATCAACAGAAAAATAACATTTAGTTCGATATTGATTCAATCTGTTTATTTTGTATTTCTTGGGTTTTTTTTAGAATTGAACTTGAAATTTAAAAACCAGTAAATACCACTTGTATTTCGATAATATTAAAATCTAAGCCTGTGGCACATGATTTTTCTTTTTTGTGCAAGATCGCATGGCAAGCGCCAGAATCGACCGATCGTGATTTGGAACCTAAAGAATTTGTCGAATCGTCATGATGCTCGCGATCCAGCATAAAAAAAATGCATTGCGTGCCGTAGGTTTTATTATAATTTAGAAAAAAATATACACATTTATCTCTAATATTTTATATATTACATATATATATATATATATATATATATATATATACGTATGTATTTTTTTATATCAATGATTTTACATATGTGTAAAAGAATTCCTTCATCTCGCATTTTAAGAGATTTAATGTAAAATTTTTATATTTGAACAAAATATATTACATCGTTGTTAATTGCGCTTACACCAGGAGATCTTGTGTTTAATTTTGTCTAAAAGATTTGAAGACAAATCAAATATATTATCGATGTGTAATGTGGTAATTACTTGTTTTCAAATGGTACCAAAATTATTAAAAACAAATTTGCAAATACAGCAGATGATGCGAATCGAACTTCGATGGGGAGGGCGGACTCGTGTAAAACCTTCTCTGCAGTATGTATAATAATAGAAGTGTGTGCAGCAAAGACGCATTGCCTACGCATTACGAAAAAAAAAAACAAAAAAAAAAAAAACACGTTTGTAATAATGTACATAAAAATCTTCAAGTAAAGTATCTTATTTTCTTACAAACTATATAGTGGTGACATTTACGAAGAATACTTAAGATTTTGTTGTAATATTAAGTATTTATTCACAGAATTCATGTTGTCCCGATATAGTTTGCTTCACGCACTCGTCCTTGGTGTACGAAACGTCGAAAACAACAAAAAATAAGAACAAAAATATATCGTTTTTTTTATACAAGCTTTTAGAGATAAACGCGATAGTAAACGTATTCTCGACGAAACCAAAAAGCGGGATCTCCTATTGTTGCAAGCGATACAGAGAAATGCGGGAGAAACTCATGTTATGCGTGTACGTTGCGCGATGCACGTATGAGGGAAGATGCGATCTTAAATACATAATTATTCTGTAATAAGTCCGTAGCATTATTAGATAAATCCACAACAAAAATTCTACTATTGGCACATTTGCAATCTTTAGAATTTCCTGTGAATTCACATGAGAAATCCATGTTAGATCAGAGATATTTCAGTAACTGTAGAAATCAAAGGACCAATGAAAGTTTTCAAGTAATTTAGGCAACTTATTATTATATATGTGTAGGTGTAACATTACACCTAAAAATATAATCATAAAATAAAGTTCATAAAATTACTTAGAAGATAAAAAAATCTCGAAGAGCAAGTGTGTGTAGTCAAAAATTTGTGTATCTCTGCACACAATTTTTCTACACACTTTTACGAGAATGAACCTAATTTTAAGATCACATCTTTCTCTTCATCTCTTTCGTTTTTTCATCTTTGATGCAGCATCTGCTGTTGTACCCGAAAAGAAAAACACGATTTTAATACACGCAACCAAAAGAAAAATGTCTTTTTTATCGTGCCCGAAAAAAAAAAAAAAAAAAAAAAAAACGAATTGTCAGTGCAAGGCAACTGTGATTTCGAGAATAAAAAAATTTATGCGTGCGACACTTTCTTTATATCGCGATTAATCTTTTTTATACATTTATAATTCACAAAATACGTACAGATGGCACGATAAATAAGGAGAAAGGTTGAAATATCTCGTGTTGTTTTTTTTTTACAGGTATGAGATGCGAGCACGATTATTGATTTACGTTATTCAACTAGAATTAACTCGAAAATATTTACTTTTTTTCGGCATATGCCTGTTTAGGCGCTTTGGATAGAGATAATAATTCAATTATCTTCGATTGACTTGCAAGTAACGATCGAAGAGTTTATACTTCTACATATATAGAATCATGTTAATTTACTGTAACATATTATATTAATCGAAAATTTGATAAATTTGCTTTTTTACAAACTCAGACAAAAACAATTTATAGGAAGATTTTGCAATTTATTCAATTGTATCGTTCTTGTTAAATAAAATGGCCATATTTTATAATGCAAATACCAAATTTGTTAACAGTTTTGTCAAAAGTGCGATATACGAGTTTCTCCCGTAATTTATCGTGGAAAAAAAAAAACAATTGTTACTTTGTATTTCGAAGATGGATATTTTATCGATGTATATAAAGCATTTTAATTGATATCAAATCAAAGACGCGCAAATTCAAACGTGCAGATTCGAAAAAACTTTATTAACAAACGCAGAATCGAAGAAATTATTATCGTTTTTCTTACTCTTAGTTTGTGTCAAACACGCGCTTTATCGACTTATCCAGATGTACACACCCGTTCTATATCATATCAATAAATCAGAATTAACATACATAAATTTATTCGTCTAGTTTTAAGAATGCGCTTTGGAAGCGCACATGGAAATTGCTTTGTTGAAAACGCTTTTGTCGCATTCTATGTATATTTAATTATCTTTTTTTTTTTTCTTTTAATAAGACAAGTTCTAAATTCTTTCGCGCACAATTAGGATGCGGTACAGTCAGTAAACATTCTGATAACTGCTAGGTGCAAAAAAAGCAACATATACCGGATGTGTTTAGTTAGCATATTCGGGCCACGTGCATTTCTGAGTTAGATTAGTGAAGTTTTGTTATTAAGCGCTACGAACTTTCTTGAAAAAAAAAAAAAAAACAAAATCTATTTTGTTGCGATGCGAATTCCTGACACTCGCAAAACAATACAGAGGACTTGCACAGTACACGAACTTTTTATGAACGACGAATATTGGAGAGAAGCAAAAGCGCGAACTTTTTAACGTAATAATCTCGGCGCGTTATACTTCGTGCGACATGCGCAAAATGTGCACAAAATCATTCATCGTAAGATAGGCTGTTTTTTTTTTAATTACGATGGATGTATAGATTGATTTTGCTCGTGTGATTTTTTGTTCTCGCTTCTTGCAATAGTTCGCATTTTTTTCTGAAAAGTTACAAAATAAAGAGTCGCTTATTCAAACACCCCTTTCGGTAGATACAATTGTATAAAATCCAAAACTTACATCTTTTTAGTTACATAGTAAGTATATAGAATGCGAACAAGTGGGATCTCGTTTTTTGTACCGTCCCTGAAGCGTGCAATGCTAGAATTTAAGCGAAAAACTATTTCTCGACATATAGTTTCTCTTCTTTTTCATCGAAAGGAATAATTTATTAAGCGAATTCTCTCGCATTAAATTATTTATGTACGGGAAATATATCGATGGGCCAGTCTTACGAGAAAAATAAAAAGTTCGCAAGGAATATTTTAGAAAATGAGGATGTGATGAAATTACACCCTCGAAACTTTGAATACAATTTGATTCACACTTGGCAACTATGGAAACGATACTTAACTCGCACTCAACACATCGTGTTAAAGAGTACTAGTTATTATTTTATACGTGTTTTTCTACTGCGTTTATATAATTAATGGGAACATTTTCTCTGTAGACAACAGAACTTTCGAAAATTTGAATGGCTTCTCGATAATGGAAGTTTCATCGAAGTCTCTTCAGTATTGTCACGGAAAAACATGAGAAAATCTTTCCTGAATCTAAATCTTATAACAATACCTATAAAATTATATACATATATATATATACATATATATACATATACACATTGTGTATATACACATATGCAATTATATCTGTAAATAATTAACGAATGTAAAGATTCTAATAAAATTTATCAATAATTTGTGCATTATCTCCAGAACCCTCTCTTTTTATATTTTATACAAACGTTACACAGTTATATTTTTTACTCTGAAGTTTCCTCGTAAGACGTCCCTTCGAAACGTTCGTTAAAAATTATTCGAATCTCTTCGACAAAAAAAAGATTTATTTTTTCTTAGTAAAATTTTTTCATTAATATTTAGACACATACTTTTATGCATCCAGGAGAAGAAAAAATGGACTCGTTGTTGCAAAACAAATATCGACAAGAGCTGTCACTATTAACGGTGGTGTTAATTAAATAAAGCAAAAACAAATATATTAGGGAATGTGAAATCGGAAGGTAGCGCAGTTATCGTGGACTTTATCGTTAACTAACAAACAAAATGTTAATGATTCAGGGACAAAAGGGAGGCTCCGTTGTACAAATGTTCAAAAAAAACATGTACATATTTATCGTCTAGATTTCGCAAGAGAGTTAGTGATAGTAACGAAACAAAAAATTGCGGCAGCCGTTGCACCGAGTGACGTGTGTGCCAATCGGAGAAACGGAGAATGAAAGAGAGAGTGCGTTACACACGATCGTTTATTGTAATAAAGAAACCTCTAGCCGCTGGTATGCATTATAAATTCTAAATAATTATATTTCTACATAAATAAATAAATTAATAAATATATAGATATATATATATATACATATATATATATGTATAAAAAATATTGTCTAAAAAAGAGAGAAAGACGAAGAAAACAAATACGTTTTAAGATCTTTGCGCGTAAATGTTCTCGTAAACGATGAGAGGTGCCGGCGTATCGCGTCACATACGATTACTCCGCGACAACAAATATAGCAGTTAAGAAACATAGTAATAATTAATAAAGAAGTTACGTTAAATATATAGCGGGCAAACTGTGTGTGCCGGCAATCATATCCGACGTGATACGCGACACGTGTGTACTATACCATATTATATATATACATATGTATTGTATCACATATATGTTTTTGTATTTGGTAATCTAAACGGAAGAATATATTGAATTAACGAACAGAGAAAAAAGATTAATAGAAAGTATATTATAAATATATTTGAGTAAATCGCCCAGAGTTGGAATTATCCGAGACAATGTCGACAACAATTGACCTTCTCTCTCTTTCTCTCTTTCCTCTCCCTTTCCCTCTCTCTCTCATTATTCTTTGTTCCTGAAAATAAAATAAGCGCAAAGAAACACACAGCAATTTACAATGTAAAACGAAGGACACGAGACACACACGACGATCCTGGATAAATTCAACGCTCGTTTACTCATAACTTATTATGTACATCGTCTGCAAGAAATAAAAAGGTACGTTCGTAAAGAAAAATAAACATAAGTATGTATATACATATAAATATGTATATATATATGTATGTCAATGTCTTATATTTTTATTTTTTCCCTCGAAACAAGTATTGCGCTGTATTGCGTGACAACTTTGGCTGAAAGAAATGTTAACTTCAGAAAAATGTCAGAACATTTTTAATCTCCGTCGATTCTTGTTTGTTTCTCCACCTGAAAACAAATGAACAAAATATATTTTCATAAAAATGTGATATAAATATTGCATAAAAATATTGTTTATTGCAAAACATACAGACGAGGGACGTCTTTAATATATTGCAATTTCTTTGGCTCTTTTGTAATAAGATCTTGCGTTTTGCACTTTTCTCTCCACACTTTGGTTGAATTTAAAAGAGTTGAGTTGTGATTTCGTCTTCTTGCTATTTGCGATCCTACAACTTTTGTAGTTTGAGTTGTTGGTTTCAGTACTTTTGCTATCAAAACTTTCCTTCTGTTCGTATACTCTTCATCTTGCTCCCTGTGTCATACAAAATTATACAATTCTTTATGATTATATGTATACATATAGATTAATAAATAACATTCTATATTTTTCTATAATTGATTTCAAATTTTGCCACTATACCTAAAAGCTTTGATCAACTTCGCATTGTATCTCGGTGCCGCTTTTGCAGTTTCTGAAGGAGTTTCCATCGACTTTTTCTCACGATACTTTGCTAAAGATTCTTGAATTTTTTTATATTTTTCTTTCTTACGTTTTTCTTGCGCGTCAAGTTTCGCAGCCATTAAATTTTTCGACTGTTCCTCATCCATTAATCGTTTCTTCTCTCTTTCCGCTTTCCATCGGTTTATCAATTCTTTTTTCTGATTCGCGTTATCAACAATATCTCCAGTCTTTGGTATTTTTGTTTCGCACTTATTATCCATCGCGTGAGTTGGAAGTTTTTTTGCGATATTAGAGCTTTTTTTTGTAGAAGTTTGTATCAGGTCTTCGACATCCGTTTCGTCCTCGTGATTCTTCAGCTTCTCCATTTCTTTCTGTTTACGCCACTCTCTGACTGCCAACTGTTGTTTCTCGCGCAGATTTAAGTAAATCTTGTACCAAGCCTCATGATTCACTATAATTTCCGCAGTCAGATCTGGACACTTGGCTTGAATAGCGGCTACCAGAGCAGGGATGTTGCTGCATTTCTTGCGCAATCTCACGAACAGCAGGTGATCTTCGTTGCTCCAGTTCTCGGTATGGCCTGCGTGACTGTTAGTATAAATGTGCACAAAAAAAAATAGAACGAGAGAAAAAGTTTCGTATATAACATAACAAAGTAAACATTTACTTTAAAAAATACATGTAACAATAAAATAAAAAAAAAGATACATACATATAACTTAAATTTTTATATATAAATATATAATACACGATATATGTAAAGTATATTTATTACTGTTTTAAAAGTATTTTTATTACTGTTTTTTATCAGATACTTTTATATTATATAATATAATCGTATTCAGTTATTATAAAATAGCAACGTTCTATTTACATATTTAAATAGTACCTGTTTTAGCAATTAATGCATGGAAGTCCTGAATCTCTTTATAATCTTGACCCTTTTTATTTCTTTTAGCAGTAGAAGAAGACGCTACAGATGGTGATTTGCCTGTGCTACCGATTGCACTTTCATATTTATGTAAATTTATTTGAAATTCCCGTAATTCAGACTCTAAAATTGTTTGTTCTTGCGACAAAGTTTGTAATTGACAGGATTCTTCGATCTTCCGAATTTTTTGTGAAAGTTTTACAAGCCGTCGCTTGTAAGCATTTGTGTCTAAGTAAAAATGTTTTATGTTTTAAATAATCCGCGTTTTTTCTCTTTGTATTACAAGACGCACACAAATTCGAATAACTTTTTTAGACATAATCTACCTAATCTCTGGATTGTCTCGGGAGAATCTTCTATGGATTTTACCAATCGAAGTTCTTCGGCAATTTCCTCCAAAGATCTGGTTATGCCATCCAGAAAGATTTGCCTGCCGAGAGTACATTTGATATGCACAACGTGATTTAACGACCAATTTGTTTTTCACTGCCTACCTGTTTTTCGAGATGTCGCCCGTATTATGCAGAACAGGTCTTAGAACTTCAGGATCCAGTTTCATGTTCCCCATTAAGTTAGCGAGATTCTTCTCCAGCGAATGCTCTTGCTGCTTCAGCATCAACATAGATTTCATGTACTTTGCTCTTTCACGTGTTTTCTGACACGACGAGAAACCACGCTTTTCCTTTTTATCTTTATCATGAATGATCATCTCGGTCATTCTTGCACGCAACCACGCTATTAATTACTGTCTTAAAAATGTAAATTTTATTATTGTAATTTATTAATACTTTTAAAAGAAAAAAAGAATATTTTTTTTTCAGACGCTTTTATACGCGTACGCACATACACTAGGTGACTAAGTTCAGTGAAGTTTGCGTCCTGATAAGTTTTACACGAGGTTTCCATAGCAATTCACTCCACAAATTCCCCCTCTTGATGTAACTGCACCTGTTGATCTGGCACATAAATATATAGATATAAATAAATAATTATATTTATATAAATATATATAAGATAATATTTTGACATAAGATTTTTCTTGAAATAATAAAGAAGATATACAGAAAAAAACTATATTTTTTGTCAACAAACATGGGAACTTTGACGCGTCGCTATATGCGCTTAAGTTACGCTTAAGAAATAAATAACTTACTACACACGGAAGTACATTGGGTTGCTTACCTCACAAATGTTTTCACGTTAAAAAATAAACGTTAAGTTTAGCGGTAGAGAAATGTATCTTCATACATTTAAATATTACTTGCTAACGCAATAATAAAAATGAAATTATAAAATGTACATTATTATATGTAAACACTTTTTCTCTTCCGCGTTGCTATTATCGACAATCGATTCTATTATTGCAATTAGCGTGAATACATATTTATCGACGAAGAACAAAGATGCAGACTGTAAACTTGTGATAATACTTCGAACGACACCAAATCGGGATGTTCAAAGGAAAGATATATCTTAAACAAAAATGATCTTTAAAAAAGACATTTAAGAAAAACTTATTTTTTCTTATTTCTTCCTATTTTTTCCTGTTTTCTTTTAAATATTTTTTCTCTTGAATTGTTTTAACATATATCTATATGCGTATGTTTCTCTGCGTTCATAAAATGTCGATGTGTCCCATGAGAGTTCCTCTATTCATTGGCGACCTCTCGCGGATTTGTCGCGGATCAATTCTACATTCCCCTTTCTACCCGCGATTCTTCGACCGCTTGACGCATTTATACGGGCAGCCTGTCTCTAGGCGCCCCAGTCTCTGATTGGGACGCGACACAGCGCGAGTATGGAGTTCTCGCATACATCGCGAGGCGTATCGTACAACGACACTGCGCTCTGAGTTCTCCGCTTAACGACGAGCCAAACTAAAAACGACTTGAAAACGTCTGAAACAGCTTTGAGCGAAAACGGAAGTCCAAACACTTCCTCCGTCTGCATGGCTCCGAAACCACCCGCCGATACTTGAGCACATTTTCTGGCGCGAGCGCGCCTCACTCGCGTATGTCGCCGGGAAATCCGCCGGCGCCGACGGACCGTCGATTTTCCGCTCGCATGAGTAAAGAATTTGAGTTGCCGTGAACCGAGTCTGGGATTGGTGTGCACACGATCGGATATTACTTTACGGGTGGTGGTGATCCGGTTGGTGGTGATTCGCCAGGGTTCTTCTTGAATTTCCTAAGTGAAGGTAAAGTACCGTGTTCGTTTTACAGCTGCACGCTCGAATGTTGTATGGATATGTGAAATTGCAACCGTTTTTTTTTACGACACTCGTAATGCGATCGGTGTTGCGAGCATTGAATGATTGATTCGTTCCGCGGATCGAAGGAAATCGAGATACGTCATCTCGATTGACGTTTGAAGGCGAACGCTGAATTATAATAAGCAGGTGCATTTGCGTGATTGGCGTACTTCGAGCTATTTTGTTCGTGCAATGAAAGATTCGTCGTATGAAAAAAAAAAATACGTACGTACACAAAGAAACCTTCGGTATCTTACGTATGATAATGTTGATTATTTTAATTAGAAAATAGAGCGTTCGAAGTAGTGCAGCCGTAAATGACGCATTTATTGCAAAGTAAAAGTGACTCATTGGCAAGTTAGCTTATCCACCGACGCCGATAAGGAATCAAGGTTTACGATGTTGATTTTAGACTTTGGCTTTAAATGTATATTGCAACAAACACAGTGAGATCAAGATTACAGAAATGAGAAATGCACTAGAGAGATTATCGATGCGACCTTATGTAATTATTGTATAAGATTAAATATTGTAATATTAATTTTTTTTTATTGTACATATACGTACACAAGTATCACATGTTGACGACGGTTACGTTATATAATACGATATCGTACAGTGCACCTAATCCTATTAAAAAACGGTACTAGACAATAATTAATTAAAAGCTTTATACACACAACAATTTTATGCCATTATATATATATATATATATATTATCTTCCTATTCTGGCTAATTCACTCGTTAAATTCATTTTTATAGAGAAAGTTTCATTGTTCGAACGATAAGGAAATCCTGCTTTGTAATCGTTTAATCATTTTAATTACGCGTACGTGTTGCAATACAACTAATTATTTGAAATAATTGCTGTGATTAGCAAAAATGTGGCCATTAAATTGTAAATTGTATGTAGCCATTCATTTTCTAATTCGTTTCTTCTTCGCATACTTTTCATATAATTTCATTCGATCATTCATTAAAACTGTTTCTGGAGAGAAAAAGCTTCATTGTTCCAGCTTCATTGCGTCGCAAGGAAATGTTTTACTGTAGTAATTAAGAGTTATTAAGAGTGTAGTTGTTTTAGAATAATTACAATTATAACGCGACTTTCCTTACCTCAAACAATTCATATTGTGTAGCAAATCACAAACGCAGCATATATATTATTTTCGCGATACGCTTGTTCTCGCAAATTAAAGTTTAATTACGGCAATTGAAAATACGAAGGTCAAAACTTTGAAAACCAAGCCGATTTGAAACGAAGAAGAGAGAAAGAGTGTGTGTGTGAGAGAGATTCTTGAGAGAGTTTATACTTGTGTTCCCATCCGCACGGAACGATATTCGGCTCGCGTAATGGCGCTATAATTCCGCGGCGATTGAATTGCCGACGCAATTACTTGCTGGACGCTTACTCTCTCTTACGAGCGAAGAGACGTCGAGATAAGTGGACGGAGACAAAATGTTTTTTGTCCCGTGAGATAGTTGGTTTTCTCACTCTAAAAAACGAATTACACATCGCGCGCTATGCGATAAAGTAATAAACGCAGAAATGAAATGCGTAATAAACGCGACTCCGGATGCATTCGCACGAATCTCTCTCTCTCTGTGTTTCAATATCGCTCGAACGATATTGAACTTTCGATTCTCTCGATTCTTATCCGGCAACGAGATATATTGCACCTTGTACCTTGAGATTAGTTTTACGATCGCTTGCGTGAGGCAAACAATTTGCGTAACACACATTATGCTCGTATGAATTCGCGCGAGAATTATCTCATTTCTATTGCGTTCCTTGCGCAGAGACACGAGAAAGAGTTTTCGTTACAAAAAGCTCACGTGATATCACATTGAAAGATTATTTTATTAGCGCGCGTAAGAGCGCGATGTTAAGGAAAAATGGCACCGATTCGATTTCTAGAAGTAGACACTTTCTGCAATCGGAGTGGATACCGGATAATCTATATGGGGAGTCGTATTTTAATATTATGACACATTAATATCTCTTATTGCGCCGTATTTATCACGGCGAGCATCGCGTATACAGGATTAAAATCGCTCGCGATCGGCAACGGTGTATTTCATATCACTATTGCTACTCCTATCATAAATATACAAACCGGCGCGGAGCGCCAACTATTGCGCCAACATTACGCTGCGTGCTGCGCGAACATCGCGGGAATATAGCGTGCTGCTCGTTACGGCTGCTCTCCGGTTAAAAGTGAATGGGGAACCCGTTCATTCATAAGATTTTCTTCCGAGGGGGGCAGCAAGCAGTCGCGGGGCGCGTTCGCTCGCGCTGCTCGACCAGTCTCGTTCGCTTCGATTCCGCGAGCGCAGATGCACTTTGCAACCTGACTGGATACGCAACTTCTCTCTCTATTTAACATTCGCTAAATCCGGATATCTCTTTCTCGTACGATCGAAAGACGAAGCAAAAGGGAAATCTCAGAATGAATATTTATAAGCGCAACTCTTGTAAACGGAAGTTTATACGTTTAATAATAGACCGCGAGAGAGCAAATAACATTGATGCAGAAAACCAACAAATTAGTACACACACCCGGCAAATGCGTAAAAAACATCGAATTATAACAACTAAGAGAGAGAGAGAGAGAGAGAGAGCTGACGCATTCAGAAAATGATTAACAACTAGTCGACGCGGCGAGTCGACTTTATCTCGACGCTTTGTAAATACGCAAGGATACACGAGTCATAAAATTGCGGTAATGTACATATTCATCGTGTTAACGCAACAAATCGGCGGGAGAGACAGATAGAGAAAAAGAAAGAGAAACCGAAAAATCCGTCGTATTTATCTCGATGAAGAAAACACGCCGCTGAACCTTTACGCGGTTTGCATAAAAGATTTAACATCGTTAATGTTACGATAAACACGGTCGAAACATTTATCTCGTTAATTCCGTTCCGCGGCTCGACGCGCCCGGCCGGTAGATTGCAACGTTCGCGGAACATTGCGATTAATGAACGGCTGTCAACTCATCGCATCGCCGGAAAATCAGTTGCGTTACAGGTCGGTCCGGAGGCTTTGCGCTGTCGAGATGCGTTTGCCGAGACAGACGTGCGGCGTCGGATTTAAAGTTGGATTTCAGTGCGTGCGCATTCTGATATTCCGATGACAGCATGATCCTTGGAGCAATCAAGAGGCGTGTAATTTTTGCAAAGAGGAGAGAGAATCGTGACGAAACCGAGCGCCGCTAGATTTGAAAGTATGTATACGCGCGGATTGACTCCCGGGAGAGAGAGAGAATAAATTATCGTGTTCAAAGCAGACAATTGAGGGATGCGTTGCAATAGCAGCAAACTCCGCTCGCGTTTAATTTTAGAAATTGACGAAAAACTTCTGTGAACATACATGTCGGCGAATAATAAATATATAACCAAAAGATGTTGAAAAGTGGAGATTGCTAGTTTCGCAACGACGCCTCTCAATTTTGAAGACGCATCAAAGTCTCTTTCTCGCATCTCCGTCGCGGATTCTGTCATCGCTGTTGGATCTCCGACGCAATACTCCGTCAATTTGTCTTTATTCGACATGCTCTCCTTTTTCTTCACTACTTTCCAACATTAAGTACAGTTATGGAAATGGACCTTCACGCGAGGACGAAAGGAGAAAAACGAGCGAACGAAAGACGTATGAAGGAGATGTAGAGGGCAATAAGTCCGGTCGAGGCGGGAGGCGATCAATCTCGGCGCGTTCGAAGGAAAAGTTACGGCCCGGCGCGTAATGATAAACGACTTTGGAGTCGCTTAGGTTCTGTACATTATCGGGCTGCATGTATCCGAGATATCGCGTTTCTCGTTTGCCGTTAAATAATTTGCGCGGTCATGCGCGACGCGAACGTTGCAGTCGCGCTCGGCTACGCCGATTGGGCTCGTCGTGGTTGTTGTTGTCGTCGTCGTCGTCGTCGTCGTCGTCGTCGCCGTCGTCGTCGTCGGAAACAGGTTCATTCTGCTGCGTGGTTGTCGCGCGAAATGAATGAAATCGTTAGGAAGCATTTACGCCGACGCCGCACTGAAACGTTTATTGGCCCCGCACTCGAGCGCAATTATGCGTCGCGTAACTCGATGCACTCCGAAAGGAAACGGGCATATATCCGGTTTCTCGGATGTGTATCTCCAAACAAAATTCTTGTCAAGTGAATTAAATTCGTTCGATATTAAAACAGAGAAATTTATTTTTTGACGATTTTTTGTGACAGTTAAACAATTTACTAAATAATTTCGATGACGGAATAAACAAAACTCGATGCACGCATCTTGTCAAGCCGTGATATAATTATGCGAAATACTGTCACGGGACGTTTCGCGAAAAAAAAAAAAATACACATTTAATGCGACGTAAAAGAGCAAATTGAACGTTAATTGCGCGGCGCGCTTACGTGGAACGCGCATTACACGTCCCGCGCGCGAGCGCGGATTCGTTTTCTATATTTGCCTTTCGGAAAATTATCACATCGGCCACATCGCCGTAATTACAGCGCAGCGAGAGACTTTCAATTGATCGCGCGTTTTCCCTTAATAACATATTGGTGCGGTAACTGTCTTTGAGTTCAACGTAAGAATATTGTCGTCGCATTGATCGCACATAACGTATATATACGTATATAACGTATAACGTTATTACTTTAATGCGAGCGATTATAACCGTGCGACAGCCTATCGGGTTCTCGTGTGCGGGGTACGCCTCTCATATCTCGTGTGCGAATGTATATCAATATTCATAAATCACGAAATTATTTTTAAAACCGCACGATACATATAATTACGAGAATGTAAAGCAGTATCATAAAATTAAAAATCGCTCGTACATTTTCACACAAGATCTTAATGTATGCATTTTTTTAATTTTTTTTTTTTTTCACGAATACCGAAATTATGCAACAAGAGCATCGCGTGTGTTTTCACATAAATATCATATTATGTTATTACTGTTTACATAACACACGGTGATATTCATCGCAACCGCGCCGATGAGGGAGGGAAGGATGAATCGGATTAAGCTCAACTCTCCGTGTGCGCGCCCCAGAGAAATTATAATAGGTAATAGGGCGTAAGAGTAACCACTTCCTGGCGAAGCGAGTTTCATGGCTGAGTTTCGTGAAGTAAGTCGCACAGGGAGATCAGATGTGTGTATCGCGCGCGCGAGTCTATATAAATTGTGTGACTTGTATACAGAAAAAACAAAAAAAAAAAAAAAAAAGAGATTCCGAGATTAAAGTCGCGTGAGTAGTCGTGAGAACGTTAAAGATATTTTCTATTCGACCATTCAGTCCGATTCAATCTTCTAATCTCGTTCGCTATATACTTCTAGCGAGGAGGGAGAAAAAGAAACGTGTTCGAGGGATTTAACTCGCGCGGGGGGGGGGAGGGGAGGGGAAAGGTAGCGATGTTTGAAAATCACCGCGCGATACACACACGCGGTGTTTTTCTCTCCTCTATCTCTCTTTCTCGTGTTTTCCTGGCTACGCGCCATTTCATTTTCCGCGCACAAGTCCTGGTGCGACTTCATTGTTTGCGCTGGTATTCCGAGAAAGGGTTTCTCCTCCGTGTGAGCCCGTCGGCTCTTTATTATTCCATCGGGCAGCGCGAAAGGGACAGAATACATATTAAGAGGCGCGGTGGCTCGCCCTATGCGCGGATCGTTCCCTATGTAAGTGCTTTCGTAAGTTTGCGTACGTGAGCGTACTTTAAAGGCACGCTACACCTGACACATAACGGTGCGTCATACACCGCGTATGTACATACGCGGTATCATAGCGAAACTATATACGTGAGTTGATAACGCGATATTTTTGCGGAAAAAAAAAAAAAAACAAACGCACTGTTAAGAGGGTACTCGAAGAGCTTATATATATATACATATCGTGACATTATCTATCGACATCAATCATCGTTAGAAAAACAAGAATGAACGTGAAGGAAAATAAGTCTGAACTACTGTTTGTTCGGTCAGTGTAGCAAACAGGTCCGGGTACTCTTTTAACGCGCTCGCTGCGAACAAAAGCCGCTTCTGCGGATCGATCTTTCTCTCTCTCTCTTTCTCTTTATCTATTCGTGATCGCCATCGAGTTGAACTTTAGCATTTTCCGAGCGTAGTATGTATGTGCGCAATAATGCATCCGATGTAACATGACGCTGACGACACGGGGCGTGTTGTCGCCCGAGGGGCGCGTGCATCGCGGGAAACGCGATACGATGACATTTTGCAGTCACCTTTCGTAAATCGTAATCCACGAGCGTCGTTGTCGGCGCACGAGTCTCTCATCTTTCGTCTCCACGATCTTCTCCCCTTGTGTGCGCTATACTTCCCAATTCCTTTTTTAATCGCGCCGCCTGTTTATCTCTTCGTCTCACTCCTCCTGGGACGTTAATAAAATAAAACTACAGAACCGAATGTGGAGGTTGGACGGGTGAAGTTCCTTTCATCTCTACGGATCTTTCGAAGAATCGAGAGAGATCGATTAAAATATCGGGTTGTGCGTTATAGTATTTTTAGTTTTTGTCCTCTGAAATTTTTTTCTGTCTAAACATAAAGTTCGTTCCTAAGTTAATCAAGGATGTTTGTCGTTGAAAGACTATACTTACCGTTAATAGAACTGTTTGTCGCTTGTTGGGAAGTTTTGTTGCCGCGTCCGTACGTCTGTGCAACAAAATTATTTCCCACGATTATATCATCTGATGATCCCCGCGTGCACGAACGGCGGACAAAAAATTAGGATGTTTATTAGGGAGCGCGCAAAAAGAGCGGAATGAATTCAGATAATTTCGCACATCGGTTAACGACCCCGGAATTAAATTGGTGTGAGAAAAAAATACGTGTCCCACAAATATCTTCCGGTCGTAAAATAATTTATTGGTCATTGATCCTGTGCATGTCGTCGCGAAGCTTGTGTGTCCGGCAGCGGTATACAATCAGAGACGCATAAATTTATTACGAACCTATTCGGCTGGCGCAATTCCTTGCTCGTTAATATGTGCGCCGCGGCGTAGGCTTATTTATCAAATACCAAAGCCCCGTTGGTCGCGTCTCGCCGAGATTTCCATTCAACGAAAGTCGAGCGCGCCAAAACGTCATTCCGCGCCGCTATTCAGAGTCTGTTGCATCGGAGAGCAACCGTGTCTTACAATGAGTTCAACTTGCGACATTGCGACTCGACGAGTTGCTCTCGATACTACTACTACTACTTGCTTGCGCATTACTCGAGTCGCACACAATGCTGCTGATGGAGATTTATGTGTACGTGGCCGTTGAAAAACAGAAACTCAATAGGCGATTTAATGGACGACGGAGAACAAATAGAGAGCAGTTAGTTAGGTTGTTAAAAAAAAAAAAAAAAAAAAAAAAAACTTCACATGAAAGTGGTAGGTTCACATCGAGATGGAAAACTTTCACATAACAGATTGTGGGATTTGTGCGACTGTACATATATAATTATTTATTCAAGTGCGTTTATTTTTCGAGTCATTGAGCCGATCATTGTGAGTCTACCGTATCGAATGTGAAAAATATGCAGACTGCAATTGAAGTGGACACGTGTGTATCTATATATACATACAGATTGACGAGCGCACGAGGGGAAAATATCGCGGGGTTGACCACGCCATTGTCGGGAGTGACACCCGGAGTGGCTATTGTCCGGCGCGGAGCGTCGCGTCTTTTATTTTTCTATCGGATATTTATAATCCGTCCTTTTCATCGCAAAATAATGCCCGCGGATTTGCATACGCAACGGTATATCTCGACGTGGAAATATCACGTGAGAAAACGAATCGAGACCCCGTTAGTAGCGACGTGTTGCGCAGAACAAACGTAGCTTTCGGTGAGACGAATAAATAAGACGATCGAAAAAGCAGATTAGATTTATGTTATAAATGTAACGTTAACTTGAACGTTGTTTGTAATTTATTTAAAAAAAAAAAAAAATGTATCGATTTCTGTTTCTCTCTTGCAGTTACAACCTGCTAGTCACCACCATGTCGGTGCTACTGGAAGCGAGGTCGTACAGGCCTTTCAAGTCCTCGGAAGAGTACCTGATTGCGATGAAGGAAGACCTGGCGGAGTGGCTGAACGCTCTGTATCCGGAACTCAGGATCAATCTCGACAATTTCATGGACAGGCTGGATACCGGAGTCGCTCTATGCAAAGTGAGTGTCAGGGCGATTTACCTTTAATGCCATAACTATCGCGGAAGCACGATTATCCGTGCGGTTGAGCGCGCTCACACAGTCGTAACGAGGCGATCCTTATCGCCGCGACCGTCATTGTCGAAAAACTCGCCTTCGATCGAGGAGCCCATTGACCTCAATCCTAGAACACGATTGTCACGTTCTCTCTCGCTCATTCCGCGTTTATTTTCTCGCGGGTTCGTAAACACCCGCCTATGCATCACACAGGCATCGTGAAAGCGCGATATCGAAATTCTCTTTCTCTACACATATATATATATTATATGATATAAAAAGAGATAGGTAGTATACGACAAATAAAGAGAAAAATGTTGGAAAGTGTTTTTGCGCGGTTACATTAGATAAATCGTCATAAAGTTCGGACGTAAAGCTTCCTCTTGAAATGCCAGCGTCATTCATAATGGCACGTGGCTCACGCTAAAGACGCATTTAAGTTGCACGTGTGCACTCGTGACGAGGAGGAAGAAGGATGTGTGACGTCCAGCGGAAGCTCTTCGTCCTGCGCGTGGCGTGAATTACGATTGACCTTAATGCCAAGAGGAAGAGCGAAGAATAAAGAGTGTCGTCTTTCAAAGAACCTTCTAGTCTCTCCTGCGACTGCGGTTCTTAAACTTTCTACGGTTTTAAATTGTTTATATTTATTTTCACACTATCTCTTTTTATTCACTTCAAGGATATATATATATTGAAAAACGTAATGTAATTATAAATATAAATAATTGATTTATAAATATGTATCTATATATTTAAATGAGAGACTATATGCGTGTTGCTTTTTTTGACAAGTGACAGCAAGCAGAACCTGAATGCTAAACTCTTTGACGCTTATTCACGCAGTGTCGAAACAATTTAAAAAACCGTGCATACAACCTGTATCTCCCACGCGAACATGCCACTCGACTCTGCTGCGAGTAGTCTCACTTGTAACGTGACCGATCGACTGTCGACGACATGCAACGGTCGGCTTATTAGCTCGAGCATTATTAAACCAATTTTGAACGTGTCATTAAGAGCGTGGCAAATAAGGGCGTAAAAAAAATAATCGCGAGATTACAATGAGTAATGCTTTAATTACTCGACTGATGCGGTCGGTAAATGTTTTCACATGCCGTATATGACTCTGTATCACGTACTGTAAACAAGTTTGATGTAAAAATTACAACAAAAAATGTGGATAATTATTATATTGACATACCGACCAACGATGGTTGAAATGTTTGCAAGTATTCTAAATTTACACCGGTGAAATACCGTGTGACGCAATATGCTTTAACGTTTGTAAAATCTTTGATTTATCGGAAAGATTGTTGCTTTACATCCCGATGCTGAATTCGTAATGTTTCCTGGAACGATATTGCGCGATCGATCGCGATCCTGAGAATCGCACGCCGGATCGAGTCCGACTTTCACTGATCTACGATGACGATCCACTCGAGCCAGCTCGGGCATCGAAACGAGCTCCATTCATCGCCACGGGCCCCGTCGCGCGCGCCCATAATGCCCACCGGAGACCCACGACGAGTATCCGATCGCTCGTATATATATAAGTGCCGCGGTATATCAGCCGGACACCGTGCTCGTTATTAGCAGCGCGGCGCGCCGCCGCCGTCGTCGTTATAAATTCATGCCAGAGAAATATTTAGAGTAGGCAGAGGACGATAAAACCGCGGCAGCGCGCTCGCGTGCGTGCGCTGCTGCTCCCCATGTGCCAACTCGGAGAAAGTCACCGGTGCATCGAGCGCGCACACCTAAAGTCCGATTCAGAACGCGGAAAAAATCGCCCGATTTTTTGTTTTTTCCACGATTCTTTATAGTGTCGTTTTCAAGTAAAATATATGCGCAGCTGCAAATTGCTTGAAGAAGTAACGAATGAAATAAAAAATCATGAAGAAAGTAAAGTAGATTAAACAATGTATTTGTTCATATCAAATGACGTGTTGTATGCGCTTTAGAACTTATGTGCCGTGCGATTAAATTTGATAAGAAAGGAATTTTCTATGTGCGCGCACAAGTTTCTCGATGTGTGTGCGTGTTGAGCACTTGGTCTGAATCCGGCTTAAGGATTACGGCAGATCTAGAGGTGAGGTACTGGAATTTCTTACCTGTAGCAGGGGGTAGATTGGGTTGCAACGGAGCCGTTGGAAAGAGGAAGGGCAGAGGGAGCCGTGCTTTTGCATATATCGACTTTACGAGCCGTGACGAGTGGCATGGCGGGGAGGCATAATGCGCTACGAGACGAGAAACGATAAGGAACCCCAGTGCTCTCGATACCGGCACTTCTGGGGGCTCTTTTCTGCTTTTCTTTCTCTTTTCTGTTATTCCCGAACGTTTTTATCGAATTTTTTGCTCTCTCGCACGCGGCGGGCAATATTCATCGCAGCCTACACGAACCTCAGCGACAAAAGTATAAGAAATGTTTATGTAAGAAAAAATATATTCAATGATTGGCACTTCAAGTTCGTTCTAAAAACTTATTATTGGATAAAAAAAAAAAATTTCGATTGATCAAAGCCAAAACACAATTTTTTTTTTTTTGAGGCGGCAAGGATTGACTGACTTATTTGTCATAAAATACTTTGGACTCTAGCTACTGGTGATCCTTGACATGAATGATGAATTCATATAGCAATGAGGATTCGATAATGATTCACTTTTCAATTGATCGAAGATAAACATGACAGTTCGAAACGCGCGCGCGGATTCTACGACGCGCAGAAGGAAGCCCCTCGTATCGAAAAGCGGTCTTGTGAGAAAACGTTTTTCAAAGCAAATTCGAGAATGGCACTTGTCATGCATTTAAAGGCCGACAGGCAGTCCGTATTAATCATGTTCGCGCGATTGCCCGAAAGCGAAAGGAGCCAGAAGCAACGGCGTACGGCCTTTCCTGTCGAAAATGACAAATACCGGGCGCCTCGGTAGTGAACCTTATATAGAAATCGATCGACTCTGCTGGTTATCTTCAAGCATGTTGCCATCGCGCGTGGCATAATGTTATACCGATCTAAAAATATTAACTTCAATTATGTCACCATCAAGCCGACGAAAATAATCGTCCTTTTACATGTAGTTTTAAAATTAACTCTCTGTGTTTTCTTTCTTGTAAGGGGGAGACTTATTTATTCTCTTACAAAGAAGTTTCGTAAGAAATATATATTTGTTGTATTAGTTTTAAAAAGTGAACATATTCCAACACGTGCAGCTCAAAAAGGATCTTGCAATTTTCACGCAAGGACGACAAGTCGACGTCGTTTCGTGCCGATCGACGTCGTTTCGATGATAATCCTATAGATATTTTTATATAAATAGAATAAACTGCCTTTATATCGGATTTCGAATTACGCTGCGGAATTCAAACAGGCGATGCGCGACGTGTACGATTAATTAAGCGCAATTGTCGCTATCTCCTCTTTCTTGCTCGGAATTAGAATTTATGGCGGGCGTGAGTCTTGTCCGGCGTTGTCTTCTCCGACGTGCAGACCTTAAGTCCTATTTAGACGAGACAATTTAAGACCTATTTGGACAAACGATATCGTATCGTAAAAGTGGATAGTACCCACTTAAGACAGCCCTTCGCTCTCTGTTCTCTCTCATAATTCTGAGAAATAAAACTTTTTTCCACACAGAAACATATATTTCCATTTTACACGTTTCAGTTGCACGCATTTCAAAACGCTCGGATATTATTGACTATATATACGTATTTAGTGTGGGGAAGGGTTACGTACTTTCGACGCGTTTCGTTTATCAAGTTTTATTTTTTTTGATGTCTAAAAAAACAACAATTCTAAACTATGTAGATTTAAATAGTTTTATTTTTTTATATACTTTTTTTGATATTATAAAAGAATTGAATTTCGACCAAAGATACGAGATATTAATGAAACAATTAACGCGAGAGACAATTACGAGCAAGATGACTTGTCGACTTTTCTGACGTACGTGATAGAGCGAGTTACCTCTCGGCGACGAGTCTTGTTCGTTAACCGAGTTTATCGGCAAATCTATCTTAGTTACCTTAAAGCGCGGCTAGGATCAGCGATTTTCTTTCATGCAAGTTGACGTCGTTGCAGGTCGCGTTATGACAAGCGCAAATTCGATCAGTGATTTATGTCGCTATCGGTCATATAGGAAATAACAAAAACTGCGCGACGAGGTAAAATGAAATCACGAGAGAAATTATTACGTACAATTTGTAACATAGACACGAAAGCAATTAGAAGGAAGCGGAATCAAGGTCGGCAACCTTGAAATTTCTTGCAGTTAATTGAAATTGAGTGGAAAGCTGATGAAACTCGATTCCGCCGTTGAATTAACGTAAATGGAATGATGACTGTTTTTTTTTTTTTTTTTTTTGTGGCTTCGCGAGATGTTAGGAAAGATTTCGTTTCAAGATCTTCTTTAGAAACTGTGTGTTTAATACAACTGTCACACAGTTTAAAAAAAAAAAAAAAAAAAAAAAAAAAACAGAATTTCTATGTTTCAACATACGGATTATGCAAATAAGATCATAAATGATTTTTATGCGCGCGTTTCTTTAAAGGTGAATATTTACACATATGTTATATAGAGTGGATGTGAAATAGAGCTACATGACCTTGCAAACTGATTATCCTTTTCGAAAGGCCAGTCGTAAAAAAGATGCACGTAGCTGATTGGCCGACGTGTCTCACACCAAGGAAACGCACGCGAGGTCAAGAGAACGTTTCCTTTGTTGCTGTCTTCTATTAACATTTCTATTGTAAGTTCCTGCCCCTTTATCTAGCCTGTACTCGGAAATGATGGTAGCACAAAGGGCTGTTCGCACAAATTTGCATATAAACCTACAGAAATGTGTTTACATTATATCAACGTAAAATTTTACCATGAACGTACAATTAACACAAATTATTTGAAAGACATTATAATAATAATAATAATGTATGCATAAAAACAATGTTTGAAAATTACATTAGATCACGCGTTGTATGTTTGTAATCAAATACCAGTAAAACCGCGAAGAATTTTGCATCTGTTTACCGGAAACTCAAAGACATGATGAGCTTTGGCAATGAGCATCGATGTGCATTCAAGTGCACATGACTGCAAAGAATCACGAAAGACGCGTCCCGACGACTTCTTTTGTGTCTCCGGGAACAAATCGATGAATGCCAGAGAGCAGGAGTTTCGAATGCGTTTTTTTCATAATCTCTTGGAACCGGAGGATGGCCCTTTTCATCCTTGTACCTAAATATATACATTGTGACTGCCACGCTTTCGAAACGCGTTGCAAGGGAGGCGCATCGTAAAAACAAGGGTCGGAAATAGACGGAGAAAAAAGGAGGTTGGCGCCGCGACGCCGCCGAGACGATTGCAAGATCGCGACGTGCGGTCTAGGATCTTCGGGAATCGTTTTTTTATCAATTCTAATACACTTTAACTGTCGACGGCCGTGATGTAACTGACTCGCGTCTCGAAGGTTCACTAGTAGTTTTTCTTACGAATTAAGTTGTTACATCTAGAAATTTTGTATTTTTCTCTATAGACATCAAAATAAAACTTGAAAAATGAAAAATGTCAAAAATTGGTCGAAAATATATCACCTTTTTTTTTTTTTTTTTTTTTTTTTTTTGACGACAGTCTATCATTCTCGCGCGACTTAATGGTGACACGCGAATAACTTCCTGGGAAGTGTATTTTGTGTGACGTGTCGCTGACTGGAGAGACAATATACAGAAGGCGGCACGTTCGCACGATTTTACATACTTGTTCGCGACGCTTTGGAAGGCATCTCGCGCGCGTGTGGAACATGCGCGATGATTCACGGGCGCTTTTGTGCCGAGCGAAGTCTTCTCTTTCTCTCTCTCGCTGTTAGAGGTACAAACGACACGACGGTCGAGGTTTATTAACCCTCAGGCGCGTAGGAACGACAGGATCGCGAACAATCCTCACGCAAATCTTTCACGCACTTCTGCCGAGCCGAAGAATTTTTGCCACAGCCGTGTGTATATGAAATGCGCTGGACACTCTCGAGAAAATATGTACTTAACTTCATTCAAACGAGGAAATTTGCATCGCGTGCGTGTAAATAAGCGCGTGCCAATCGCGCGCGGGTAAACGCTTCGTTACGAAGCGCTCGGGCAGCGTGTTATTTTCGAAATGCATACGTCTGAAAAGATGAATATATAGAGTCGTTAGAGCGCACACCTGTAATTAATATATCCGTAAACAGATAATTACGCTAATACAGATATTTAATTGACGGACAATCATCACAAAGTTTTTCAATGGATATTACACCGGCGTAATTTATTATTATTACTGCGTATTTCTGTTTGTTTTTAATTGAGTAAAAGGATTTTACGTTTTCATTTATAGTGCTTTGAACGTAGCAATTACCGCTGTCCTAATCAATTTGCAATCAACGTTTACAATTGCACCATAAGCAATTATTCACGAACTAATCAACAGTTTCGCCACAGTCTTACGACGGACTTAATAATCTTAATTAGATTAAAACCCGCGCTATATACACGTGCGTATTTGCGCTTTCAATAACGTGTTCGCTACTTCATTTCGCGGCGCCTACGAACAGTCATAAATTTCCGCGCAACGGTTTATCGCGCAAGTCTGAGACCCCAGAAACTAAATTAAGTTACGGGGGTTATGAGTAATGGTTACTTGCGCTCTCGGTTGGTTACGTCTCATTGGTTTTCCTCTATACACCATGGGCATACAAGCGTTACGCTTAACTCGCTTCCCCTCGGGCGCAATCAAAATTGCGACCGCTCCAATTTACAAACGCGGAATGTGTAGCGGCCATTTTCATTAAGCGTTGCTTCGTGCATTCGCGCTGGAACATGGTAGATGATACGAGGGGAAAGGGTCAGAGGCCACGTAACGTGACATCCTGCCGTCGCTTCATCTGTCGTATTACCATATGTGCTACTTCTCGTCTCTTATAAGCGCGACTCTTCCTCTCGCAGCGGTGCTCATCATTCTGAAGAAAAAAAAAAAAAAAAAAACAACGTTCGTAATAAAAAAAAAATAAGAAAGAAGACACGATAAGTATCTGATTGAGTATAAAATAAAAAATAAAAAATTGCACGTTTACTGCCTTTTCCCCTATCGTACGACTCTTTAACGGCGACGGACGTTCCCTCCATCAGAGAGTTTCAAGAGTTCTCGACAAAACACTTCGGCCGTTGAATCGTCATTATAGTCGCCGCTCGCGTTGCAACGGCAGACTCGTCTAATCTCTGTATTATATCCCTCAGGAGGTATATTGAGACAGGCCGATGAAAACAGCCGGATGCCGTTACATGTGATTTTTACGAGTGTGTGTCGGGGAAGCGCAAACGCGGCCTCATGGCCTCCAGACGAGTATGTGTGTATGTATACGAGGCCCCTAAAAACGTGTCCGGAAACGTGCGCTTCGTGGAACACGCGAGTTCCTCTTGGCGACTGAAGAAGACTCTTCTTCTTCGTAGAAAGCTCCGACCGCACATTAAGAATGCGTGAAGATTGGAATAGTCACCGTTTAACGCGACGATTTGAGTATTTTACGACGCAATTAATTGCTCATTACCGGAAAGAAGAGAGGACTCAGATAGAGTCATAAAAAATGTGTGTCTTCAAGTGTTTCGGATCTTTCCCACATTGCTGACTTGAACAATTTGTCGTAAATAAATTTGTAATTAATTTACAAATAATTATATACAGACAAAATAAAATTTAGAATCGCCTTGAATATACATGTTAAAACAATTTCTGACATATATATACATATATATATATATATATATATATAGTTATAAAAAAAAAAATAAAAACTATATATATATATAGTTTTTATTATTTTACAAGTATTATAACAATTATGTTGACCAAGTAACTCCGAATCAACTTTTCCAATAAAATGACAATTATTTCACCTGTCAAAAAAAGAAAAATTCACGGTTCAACACAAAAGACTTCAACGTGACATCGAAATTTGACGCGGCGCACGCGAATGAACGCGCGTTGCACGCAGGGCGCGATGTTTGCACAGACGAGAGAGATATGATTTTGTTTAAACATCGGCGGCTTTCTCTAGCCGCTGACTGTTCGTACTACTACGCGTGCGTTTCCAACGTAACCCAAATACCTTCTGACGAGTATCTCGTGTCAACTCTGTTTGAGTAGGATAGAGGTTCAACGAACTGTCATTAAAACGAGCAGTTAGTTAGTATACGCTCGTTTGAGCAGATGTTTGGCGGAAAACGAGCGCTAAAGCAAACGAAAAGGGATTGAAGGGATGAAACGACGCTATTGCGCCACATGCATCTATACATTGTTCGCAGTTAATCGAAGATATAAAAACAATGTTAGAATTTACGCAAAGAGAATGCGTTATATTTTACAGCTACTCGATGTTGAAAAAACATTATCACTTTATTTTAAACTTTTTATCCGCATTGTAACATTGGCTAAACGTTAAAAGGAACAGACTGAGTGTGTGTAAACACTTGTTCATCCGTCATCGCCTTCGACAAGCTAAAGCGCGTTCCCCGTTAATATATTTGACATACGAGGGAGCGCCGCGCGCATCTCAAATCTCTCTTCGCGGCCGCGTGCACTCGTATAAATCGAGAGCGTGATATTGCATAAAGCTTTTTTTAGGATCAAATGACGGTCATCCGATGCCATCTGCTATTACCATGCGAGGAGTAAATTCTCGATTTTGATGTGCCGCTAACGTACACATGTGTGAGCGAGCAAACACAATATAAGACGGGGATGACACGACGTGTGGGAAAGTTGAATAGTGCGCAATGAAATGTCGCGGTGCGCATATATATGGCGTCAGAAATACAATATCGACGATATCGATTGTTACAGACGTCATGAAATATTGATGCACACGCGCGACGTGCATTTCACAGTCGTACCATTATAAATCATAATTAAAGACGTTTTAGTCGAGTGAACGAGACAGACGCGACTTTTTAAAGTATATATATATATACGCGTGATGCGTAGTTATAATATCCGGTATATAGATACACCTTAAGAAAGTACAGGATCTGTGAACTATATATTTATAGATCTAACACGCAACCTCTTTTTTTATATATACGTTTTTCTTTGTTTTTCTAATGTTCGATAGCTGGTGTCGATAAGAATACGATCACGATGTACACGGTCTCGACTCTTGGTCTACCCTCTTAAGAACGTAAAAACTTTGATAAAAAACCACTGACGCGGAGTCAAGTATCCGTCCGTGTATCTGCCGGATGACGCTCTAATCAAAGTAATGATTTTTCTCTACTTTCAGCATGCGAACAACGTGCGGAAATACGCGGCGGACTACGTGGCCCGACGTCAGGCTCGCAAAATGCCGATGACACGCTCGATAACCTCCCTGGCGCTGCCGATGAGCCAGGTGGGCGACGTGCCCTACCTGCCGAACGCCAAGGCCGGCACTTTCTTCGCCCGCGACAACGTCTCGAACTTCATCGACTGGTGCCGCAACAGCCTCGGCATCATCGAGTGTCTGCTCTTCGAGACCGAGGATCTCATAATGCGTAAGAACGAGCGGCACGTGATACTGTGCCTGCTGGAGGTGGCGCGTCGCGGCGCCAAGTTCGGCATGCTCGCGCCTCTTCTCGTGCAGATGGAGAGGCAGATCGACCGCGAGATCGCCGCCGAGAACAAGGCGGCGAATGGCGCCGGGAATGAGGAGAGCGACGACGAGTACGAGGAGGAGCAGCCGTGTCTCATATATGGACCACAGCCGCAGATCGTCACGAACGATCTCAAGACTCTGCATGAGCTGGTGAGTAAAAATACGATCGTCTCTGCGATCGTTGGCGCTTGCGTAGGATAGGAAACGCTTTTGCGCTCTCCTCACTGTCGATAAAGACTCAAAGATCCCCCCGACGTCGGGTTTTCTTACGGGCTTCACTCTGACTTGAGAAAAAAGCGAGGTTGCTTATCGTTCTCATGGCGCGACCGTATAATGCGCGCGACCTATCCGGAATTTTATTATCGATCGATTATTATAAATTAACGGGTGTAAACGTTGGTGCGCGCACGACGCGTTAAATGTCCCGTCGTGCGCGCGAATCGCGTTGACGGCTCGCGATAACGTCACTTGTTCTCACCGCGCGCCGTTAATTGCACTGCCGCTGGCGGAGAATGCGACGCCGCGTTTCGCTTGACATCCACCGACGATGGAAATGTAATATTCTCTATATTTTCTCGACTTTGTCGATATTTCGTATCTCTCACGCATTTCCGTCGTACGAGCTGCGATATGATAGAGTCCGACTGATACGCAGAACAGAAATAATAACCCGCGATGGAAGGTTTTTAAATATTAATATTTAATTTCTTTAAAGCAAATAGTAATTGCGTGCAACTTCTACAACCTGGGAGAGCCGGTGCGATATAACAATCTTGCGCTGAGAGAGAGACCGGGGATTTTACATATCAAGTAAAAAAAAAATGTCGGATTAGCGACTCGCGAGTATATCTAAACGGCGGCGATTGCCGGCGGCGATATATACGCGACCGGTATACGTGTAAGCGAAGTTAAATCGCGGCATTTCACGAAGCGGAATAATTCCTTCCCCAGGGCTTACAGCGCGCGCGCGCGCGCGCGACGCACGGACGATAACGTTGCCGTGGCTTCTCCGCAGCATACGGGAATTCCAGGACGCTTTCCCGCCACAACTTGAGACTCTTATAACATTCTTAGCGTATAATACCTGGTTTATTCTTCGAAAAAAAATTTCGACGTGATCGTACAAACGCGCCAGGATAAATCTGCTTGTTCGCGTAAATGTTCTTTTTTTTTTTTTTCTCGCTGCTTCAAGAAGAACATCAGTTCGATATTGCTGACAACACGCATTGTGCAATCGATAAGCGATATCGCGCGATACAATTACGTATTTGTTACTTTCAAAGCGTCGAGGGTTTATAACGCGCATCAATAAACACACACTTGGTATTGCAATATCATTAACACTCTTATTTATACATAACGGATAGCGCTGCGAGCGGTTAGCGCGCGTTGCATTGTAAGAACCCGAGCGCGTGTTACCGTCGTAAATCTCGTGGGAGCGTCATTACGCGGCGGCCGCCGTTCGAGCGTATTGTGCGTCGATTTTCGCGATCGTGCGCCGATATCGCCGGATAAATTTCACTTTGCGCCGCGGGGAGGCCGAACGACGCGCGCACAGCTTCAAGTAGTAACATACCGTGAAAGCGTTGCTCGGTTGCTCTCCCGATTCCAATAAAGTAGAGGCAAACCGAAGCCGCTTTGTCGGCTTCGTAATTAGTGGAAATATTTATCGCGTCCCAGCCGCGAAAGTGGCAAAATGTCCCAAGATCGAAGACCGTGATTTCCAAGAGATAAATTAACGGGAGGATTTTCCGTCGCGTTCTTAAAATCCAAATCTTTTCTCTCGTATAACTTTTGTACGCAATTTCTACTTAAACATCGTAATTAATTTTGATTCAAAAGAAAATTTGTGTTTTTTTTGCAAATTATACAACATTGTTTCCATTTAAATCTTAATTTTCTCTTAATTAGAATCTTAGAAGAGATTGATATTTTTTACACGCATCTCGTGTTGCGCGATCCTGCCCGATTAGAGTCGGTCCTGAGCGCAGGATATATTGAATGGCGATTGAATCGAGACATCGTGTCCTGTGTCAAGCGTCAAAGCGTTCAAAGCGGCAACTTGCCGCTTTTATTGATAATTAATCTAATCTCTCTTTGCGCCGCGAGACGTAACACGCATTCTCCGAAGCGTTCGCTTGTTTCTTTTTTTTTTTTTTTACTGCACGTAGTACCGATCCTCGCGGCGATACGGCGATTCAATGAGAAGAAAAGAGTACGATTGAAGAGTTGCACACGGAATACGCGAGAGAGCGTTTTGCTCCGGTCATATCGATTAGACTCGCTCTTGTCACGCGCGTTTATCTTATCGCGAGCGTTACGACTTTGTTAGCCACGTTTGATACAAACAAAACCCCGCGACCGATTTGCCTAATCGCGATGCGATACAATCGTGAACGACGCTACATATTGCTCGTGTAGCAAGAGTCTCTGACACATGATACTTGCAAGCGAGAAGAATCGAATTTAAATAATTATTCATGAAATAACGTTACAAAATAACAAGTCTCTCAACACTCGACGGTAACGTTTTTTTTTATACATATGTGTTTAATCATACAGATATAAATAATTTTCTTGTTCTTATCTCGTATATGTGACCAACATACATCGCGCTCTTCACGCTCCGGTATCCCTCAGAAATATATATCGATGAATCGCGGCGACACCTTCAAGCGAAATTCAAGCTCATATGGATTATTTCCGTAATTCACAAAGACTTATTGTGACCGTATACGTTTTGCGTTCTACCACGTGGTTTCGCGATAAGATAACGCATTTAACAAGGCTGAAATCTAATCGATAGCTGAGGTAAACCCCGTGCAACTTCCACTATTCTACAGCGTGCGGCGTCGTACACACGTGTGTACGTTTCGTTCTCTCGACGGGCGGTTGCCCGTAAATGGCGCAATGCGAAACCACGCGCGCCGCCGCCGTCGTCGCCGCCAGCATGTTCAGTTATCGCGGAAGCGCATTTGCAACGCACGAAGACAGAATTTTTTTTTTTTTTTTTTCCAGAAATTTATACACAGTAATAGTTTTCGTCTTGCAAAACGGTCAGCTGTGCGCGCGGTGTTTGCTCACGCGAACGTAATGTCCACGTCATTTCAACAACAAGTACGCAATTTTAGCACGCAATTTACTACGAAATACTGTTAAGTTTGCGCGCTTCTATACACGAATACAAACGAGCGAAAAAACATTCGATAAGCTGAGCAATAAATGTTTTTTCACGTACGCGTGAAACGCTCGTATATGCGATTTAAAGAACAAATAAATATATTCGTCGCAAATCAAATATTTTGCGAGTCGCAGTATTGGAGGTTTTCTATCGTGTGCGAGACTTTCGGGGAAGTTACCGCCTTGCCGTGCCAGACGGAGCTTTGCTTCGCAAGCGCCGAAAGCTCGTATTGATCGCCCGTTAGCCCATTTCGTATCAAGTTCAAGAGCAAGTCGACGAAGCTGCCTTGCGAAGTTGCCTCTAAGGACGAGATCCTTTTCCTTTCTATACCGCGGGGTTTTTGCTTTTTATCGTTTCTTTTTAAATTCGTTTCATATCCTGTTTCTTCAATATCAAATGCGCTCAATTATTATATCAGGGACAGTTTCATTATCGAAGGAAAATATTATTATTTTCGTTTCATTTCGATAATATTGACGATACGACTCATTTTTCGATAATAAGCCGTGGTTTAACCAAATTGTTTGATAACGTAAAAATATTTTCTATATCTGTCGAAAGTTTTTCATTGTCTTCCTTTTGTGATAAAAATTTTGATAAAGAAAAGAAAACAAAACAGTTTTAGAAATCAGTAAAACGCTTTTATCTTTTGTAACAAATAAAAAAGTTATTGCCCGAATAGCGATAAGTTTCTAATGATAAAATGTTTCTGGCGATAATCACGCAATAAGTTTTCCACATATATATTTGAAACTTATCTTTCGAGCGAAATACAAGCAGAGACGTACTTTCTAAGTACACATGTGTATTGCTGTTGACAATGACGTGTGTTTTTCAGAAGAGATATGATTCAGTTGACCGCGCGTATCTTTGAATCGTTCACCAAAATTACCGCGTATTTCATATTTGCAATCACGTCACTCGTCAAGTGTAATATTCGCACCGCGTCCAAAAATAGAAATGAAGTACAGTGACGGCACGAAGAAAGAAACGTAATGGCGTATGCTTCGCGATCTTAAATAAATGTTTTTCGAATGTTTTACGAATAAAATCCGTGAGCACAAATCGACTGATCAAAGTATTAAATCTTGCTTCACTGAAAATATGACTAATGATCAAAGTGTACTGGCTAGATACGGCTAGATTATTCGAATGGCGTAGTCGAGTGTTTTTCTCACCGACATTTCGAATCCTCACTCGATCGGCCTTCGATCCTCGCGTGTGATTTATCGCAATCTCAAGAAAAGACAGACAGAGAGAGGAGTCTGTTTGCTTCCCACCCCTTGACACACAGACTATACCATAAATGGCTCTGTGAGCTCTCTTTCAAGTCTCGGTGTCGGTTATTACATACAATTAGTCCGAGACGTTGACGGGAGAGAGGGTGCTGCTGGAGCCGCGCAAGGTCTGCCTGCGGTCGCAGTCTTAGCTAATCACTGTTTGCCGTGCGCGAATTAAAACAAGCAGAGAAAGAGAGGCACAAAGAAATGGGTTAGAAATTTAACACCAGGAGTGGAAGAGAGAGAGAGAGATATCGCGCGCGGCCGCACTTCGGGGCCGGTCAGTAATTACACGTGACCGCGTAACGTAGGTGAGCTAATCATTTCTAGGCTAGGATATCCGATACGGCACAAGTCGAGAATACAAATAGAACGAGCAATGGCTTGGTCATTGATCCGATCGGTTGACATTGGTGTTAGCAAACCGAGGAGAGCGCGATTCACCCAAGAAGGGTGAAGTAGAGCCTCGAGGGAGCGAAGGTTTTGATTCGGATAAATATATCGGATCCGTATTATCTAGTGAAATTGACTACAATTGTTTAAAGCTGCAATTTCTAGAAATTTTTTTACTCACAATCTACCTTCCCGATATTTCAAAACTACATATTTTTGTTCACAAAAGTCAATCATTTATTTTATATAATAAACGAATTTTAATTATAACGCTCTGTCGTTATTTCGGAGCAAAC